ATTTTATGCATTATTTAAAAAAAATATTAGCATTGTGCACTTCTCCTCTATAATCTCTATAAGTGTGGAAAATTTCATACTTCTCCGTCCGCGCAATTTTCGTAAAAAGGGATAGAAAGTTTTTCCTTCACGTATTAATATATAGATTGGTCTTGGTGGATGTACGAGATGAGATGAGATGGGAATCAGTATCAGTATCACCAATAGCAGTATCAGTTGTTTATCAACGGCTGATTCCATAAATAGCCGAAGAGAAATTGGATAAATTTACAATTTCGCGTAATAATTATTGAGTTGGGGCTATTTCTTGTATTTTCTGCCTATTTCTGTCGCGAAGTAGTCACGTGTTCTGGTTTAAAGTGTAATTGGCATTTCGACCTCATGTTTCAAAGTAAGCGACGCCATTCATGATGCGATGACCACGGCAGTTTAAAATTGGGAAAAAAAAATCTTCAACCATTTGGATGGAATAAAATTTATTGAAGTTCAATTAAAAACATCGAATTCTTGATGTCAATACCAAATAAAACGAACCTTTAATTACAAAGATAAATATTGCGTATTAACCGAAATGCCGCTTAAACCAAATGGCCTTTCGTCCGTCGATATAATGATATTATTATTTAGTTAAGTCGTTACCTCATCATAAACACTGCATTTATCATTAACATTGCAATACTCGTCTGCCTTGAATGTTTGAACGGATTGAAATTCCTTTTATTTTATCTAAATTCTTTTTTATTGTAGCGTATTTACATAATATGGTATTTCCTTCTTCTGTACGTACATACCTTCAAAAATCTTTTCATAAATAATGCGATTCACTCATGGTCGTGTTAATTGGCTTTTTTCATACAAAAAAAACTCATACGATACAATTTATATTTCCTCAATTGACTATCAAATTACAAGGCGTGGTAACTGGTATACTTTAGTATTTTAAAGTTCAGTTGATAATAAATTTTGTTTATTGACTCTTCATGGCTTTCTGTGGACCTGTATGTAAGTCAGTCCATCAAACTTGGTAGGAAACTACTATGTCTACTGTAAGACGCCTGGCGTTTTCATATTTAGATGCACACCTATGCAGGTTGAAATACCGAATTCAGGTAGCGAGTACCTAGAATGACATTTTCCAGTTTCTGAACGTCAAAATGTCAGTGATCGATGTCCGCCATGACACCAATTAATTCTCTTTCAAATCCAGCCGTCAAGAGCAACGTATCAATATTATATTTCTCATAAATTAAGTCTTCAATAAATACAGTCCACGCTCAATTACTACAACGCAACAGACATCTATAATGAAAAATAACATCGTGGAATCAATTTCAAAACTGACTTGAGAACGTTTTGCGAATTAAATAGGGCTTCAAACAATCCTAGACTCTTTATGCCACGAAGTAGTTATACATTTGTTCCGATACAAGGATGGTAAGATCTCTACCCGAGGAAATTGGGACTTCGATGTAAAACAACAAACTAATTAGTGCATTCCAAAATAAAGAAACCACTGTAAAAGTAATCGGAATCTTCCTTAACTAGTAAAAGTAGGTCTAGACGTTATTTATATCTTCGTTTAAATAAAAATGCCTTTCGCTTTTAACAAATACAAAAGTTAATATTTAAATCTAAGAAAATATAGATAACACTGAATATTAAATAATTAAGCATTCGTTCGGAACTTTTAGACGCAGGCATTTATTAATGTGTTTTGAATAAATCAATAGTCAAATATATTAGTGTAATAAAAGTACATGGTGAACTAAAATCGAATCGGATGTTTCGACAGAAGTTGTTGAATTAAAATTAAATAAAAAAAATACTTTAAAGTTCAATGATAATTAAAACATAAATAATACATTTATCTCTGTAATGATATATGGATCTGTATTAATAATTTATAATCGGATCAGCCACTTAAACTCAACTAAACTCAACATGAAGGCATAACGCGATAATATGTATATTGCAACAAACATTATTGAATATAACATTCAAAATATGTTCTAAATATTAACATCAAAGGAAAAACAAATTTGTTATTTTTATTTAATTCCGAGCATTTTCATATTTATCTACCTTTTAAACCTTTTCTGGGCTTCCACAAATAATTCAAGACCAAAATTAGCCAAATCGGTCCAGCCGCTCTCGAGTTTTAGCGAGACTAACGAATAGCAATTCATTTATATATATATATAGATGTGATGTTTTCTAGAAATGCGATATGCATATTATGTTTTCTACGAGCGTTGCTTTGTTGCAAAATAAATCAGTGTTCGTCGATTAAATTGCTCGTTACAACCCCGTTGCGGTGTGGTCGGTCTATATGGCATCTAGGCAGGTCGGCGCCCGATGAAAGCGAATTGCATCAAAACGAAGTCGCGTGCAACGATGCGTCGTCGTGTCGCGTGATAATTCACATCGATACATGTTCTTTTTTTAACGCATTCCATGTTTTTGTGTTTCTTCATTGTGCTTTAGTCGCTTGTTAATTGTTTAGTTATTGTTTCGTTTTTTTTTAATGAGCTCTGATAGACGCGCCTGCGGTTTGAATTGCAAGATTGATTTGAATGACAAAGCAAATTCTGTCGCCTCTCTCGTGGCAAAAGACGGAAGTCTCAAACTATTTATTTAATAATGATACAGCACTCACTCATCAATAGATCTCCAAAACTAAAAATCCGTTGCTTTTCATTTGGCAATAGATACTCATTTTGCGATGTAGGTACTCATTAAGAAAGGCTTTTAGTTATTTATAAATATTTTTTTATACACATTTATGACTGGCATCTGAATAAAAATATAGTATTTTCTGCGATTTTCACAAGTCATAGGTATAATCAAAACTACTTCTGTTGTTTAATCTCGAGTTTTTTTGTTGTTTTTTTATTGCACTATATTATTTCCGATATTTTACATTACATCACGCTTTATTGTTTTTGTGGTCAATGATGACTAAGCTCTTATTCGTCGACATTTTAAATAATATAATAAAAATAAGTTATTCTAACTATGGCATAAAATATAATTAAATTTTTAAGCGGTCGTGTTATATTTAGCTTGTTGAATTATCGCCCGTTGGAATAGACATAAAAATACGTGATTAAATGTGTAATGCAGTGAAATGAAAGTACCTTGAGTGAAAGCGTTTGGATTGACACGAATGATTTATTAATACTAGTACTCTTCAGACGATCCATGTAAATAGTTCGTGGTTTATAGCTTGGCTTTCAACATTGTTAAGAAGGCTTTTGGATATTTTATTTAAGGAACCCTTTCAATCTATCTATACATATAAAAATGAACTGCTGTTCGTTAGTCTCGCTAAAACTGGAGAACGGCTGGAGCGATTTGGCTAATTTTGGTCTTGAATTATTTGTGGAAGTCCAGAGAAGGTTTAAAAGGTCGATAAATGTGAAAATGCTTGAAATTAAATAAAAATAACAATTTTCCGGACGGTTTCCTTTTGTTTGTTTTATGTTTATTTTATACAAAAGCTTAGGTCTTTTATTTCTCGATTGAGGCACCACAAAGTGTGCCGGGTCAGCTAGTGTGCAATAAAATTAACATTATAAAAAAAAGTAGTTACAATTTACCATGAGCTATGAACTTAATAGCGAAATAGTAGTGTAAAATTATTTTATCTAATATCTTGGATGTAGACGTTTAAATGAATTGCTAACTGTCTACCTGATGCAGACGACAAAGCCGTTTCATTACCAATATTATCGTCCGGTTTAAAAAAAACGTGTTATTTCCATTTTTTTAATAAATGGCAAATTAATAATTTAAATAATAATAATAACTGGGAATAAATCACGCACGGTAATCTGACCTCAATTTAGGATTATCTGTGATATGGGTACCAAGGATTCATAAACGTACTTATGTATGTTTACATAATACTCTCACAAACACTGCACTAAGTCCATAAACATCTTTTTTGTAGTAAAATTTTAAAATGTATCGAATGTATGTAATCGATTCTTCATTAGAATCACTCATCTTGACAGTACGAAAAATAAATTAAAATCACACATTTTCCTAATTTGAATTTGGAATGAGCTTCTTTAAAATTTTAACTTTTAATGATACCAAAACTTGTCGCAACAGTCAGGGGCGCTAATTACTGCACCGATTCGGTGGTGTCAAATAATTATACTACTTCTTCTCGTTCTTACATATGTGGGGTCATTATGTGGGGTCGCGGCAGCATCTTCTCTTATCATTTCGCGTAGGGATTTGGCATGAGTTAGACGACCAGTGACCTCAGTGACGTCAACCTTCCCTTGGTTATATCTCCAGTAGTATATTCATGGACAAGTGCAATATAGGAAGGGTCTTTTTCTTTTGATGTTTATTTTACTTCGACCGCTTTTGGTTCTATGATTTTCTTAGTAGTGTAATAGATTCATTCATACTAAAATTTAGATCTTCAAATACTAATAAGATAAAAATATTACATTTTATTGGATGTTCTCTATTTAATGACAGGTTTTTTAAATTTATTTATTGCATAGATATGTGGACGAGCTCACAGCCCACCTGGTGTTAAGTGGTAACCGGAGCCCATAGACATCTACAACGTGGATGCCCTACCCTTCCAACCGAAACGCATTACTGCTTCACGGCAGAAATAGGCGGAGTGGTGGTACCTACCCGTGCGGACTCACAAGAGGTCCTGCCACCAGTAATTACACAAATTATAATTTTACGGGTTTCATTTTTATTACACGATGTTATTCCTTCACCGTGGAAGTCAATCGTGAACATTTGTTGAGTACTTATTTCTTTAGAAAAATTTATACCCGCCTGCGGGATTCGAACACCGGTGCATCGCTCGATACGAATGCACCGGACGTCTTATCCTTTAGGCCACGACAACTTTTAAAACGTCTTATTGACTTCGTGTATTATGTCCATACATATGTAGCGATTACTTAGTGGTAACTGTATGTAGAGAAGTTGTAATTAATAATTGTAAATCCTTGTTACAGTGAATGATGCGAGTCGTGTGGTGGAGCACGGCCTTGCTGGTGCTGCTAGCTGCCGCCAGCGCCCTTCGTACCCCACAGGTACCCTTTTTTTATTTATTTTTTATTGCCCTTGTAGGCAGACGAGCATACGGCCCACCTGATGGTGAGTGGTTACCGTTGCCCATGGACTTCAGCAATGCCAGGGGCAGAGCCAAGCCGCTGACCCTTATTTACTCATCTATAACGTTCAGTGTACTTAATATACGGTCGTTTACCGATAACTATACCGATACAGGGTATATCTATATTTACATTTATATTTAGGTTATATTCTTGTGAGTCCGAACCGGTAGGTCCCACCACCCCGCCTATTTCTGCCGTAAAGCAGTAATATTAGCGTTTCGGTTTGACGAGTGGGACAGCCTTTGTCACTATATAGGTACTCAGACCTTAGAACTTATATCTCAAGGTGGGTGGCGTATTTACGTTGTAGATGTCTAAAGGCTCCAGTAACCACTTAACAACTGGTGGGCTGTGAGCTCGTCCTCCCATCTAAGCAATAAATATATATGTTTAGAGCAGACCGCGGGCCCAAGCTTCTTTTAAGCTGCCCATTCAACCTAATCCTAACTCTATTTAGGTTAATAAATTGGCTATCTCATTTACAATAAAACTAAGTTATGATTTTGATTTTTTTTAAATAATATACAATTAGCTATTAGAAAGAAAATCTGAGATTATATCAGAAACAGGATTATGAGTGTTCTGTTGTTAATTATGAAACTCGTTCAAGCTGATATGGGCGTTCGGTCAATTATCAAGGTTAGAGATACAATGTGATTGATTTCATACCGCTTACTTGATGCCTTGCTTGTTCGAATGCGACACCAGGTAATTTTAATTGAAAACCTGCGTTTTTTTTTTTGCTATATTTATTAAACCCTTCTCCTGAATTTTCCGCTTTTACTCTTCTAGTAGGAATTTACTGATCCATACTTTTATGCCGGTGTTGTATAAGTGAAGATAACGAGGGCAGCTCTCCTTTTATTATATATTTCATTATAATTACACCTTTAATCATAATTATAATTATTATTACATTGTTCATATTATTATATTTATAAATATTAGGGGTTAAAGTATGAAATTTCCGATATGCACTGAAAAATTGAAAAAAAATTTTTTTTCATTTAACCTATTTATTTCATGAAAATATCTACAATTATTATCTATACATTGCTGCCATATAATAGGAAGGTCATTTATGCCTTTGCGATAGAACTCTGGTGATTTTTACTTTAACTGGTGGTAGGACCTCTTGTGAGTCCGCGCGGGTGGGTACCACCACCCTGCCTATTTCTGCCGTGAAGCAGTAATGCGTTTCGGTTTGAAGGGTGGGGCAGCCGTTGTAACCATACTGAGACTTATATCTCGAGGTTGGTGGCGTATTTACTTTGTAGATGTCTATGGGCTCCAGTAACCACTTAATATCAGGTGGGCTGTGAGCTCGTCCTCCCATCTAAGCAATAAAAAAAAAAACTGCTGTAAAATGATCTATTATTGGCTAATCAAGTAAATAACTATATTGTCAAAAATAAAACTTACTTTACATACTTAGGCATCGTTAATCATATAACATTCATAATTAACTTACTACCACCACCGCTACACTACTGCAGCTATAGTATATACGAGTCTCAGACCGGAGCTCATGGGCATCAACCTTACCACCATCCACCTTGAGATATGAGGTCTAAGTCTCGGTTGTACTGTGTAACGACTGTCTCACCCTTCAGACTGGAAAGTAAGATTGCTTTGTGGCAGAATTAGGCAGGTTTGTAGTACATACCCGCATGCATCTCATACACTCTTCACCGGTACTTAAGTATGATGAAAGTTGAAACGTATTTACCGCCTCCGAGCATAAAAGAGCCATCGTCGTTCAAGTATTATGACAGTACTTATCAAAATTTGACAGATCACAGCAAAAAACTTTCGAAATGATGCAATAAAAAAGTAACATCGATTATTAACGTGCTTACAGCCGTTTGTAATTGCGAATGAATTACGGATTAATAACACAGCTTTCTATGTGAGCAGTGGCTGTTTGACAGTTTTGTTTCATAGAAAAATCTACTTTAGCTGAAGCAATTTAAAAAGGAATGTTGCATGACTGATAATAATACACTTAAGACACAGAACAGTTCTTAATATTTTATAAGACTGTTTAAAAAATTGTTGACAAATGTTATGGTGATCACCAATTTGTAAAAATCGTCGCGGATCTAACGATAAGACGCCTGGTGTACTTATTTTATTTATTTATTTTTTATTGCTTGGATGGGTGGACGAGCTCACAGCCCACCTGGTGTTAAGTGGTTACTGGAGCCTATAGACATCTACAACGTAAATGCGCCACCCACCTTGAGATATAAGTTCTAAGGTCTCAGTATAGTTACAACGGCTACCCCACCCTTCAAACCGAATAAAACAATTTAAAATATTGGAAGGTACCAATTATTCAGAAATCTTTGTTTCAAGACGTTATTCAATAAAAATCTAAATTTGGAATGTAAACCACTTGCTTCGTAATAATTTGCTGATTAAAACGAAAATTAATTAAGAAAAAACCAGATGCATATGCATAAAGAATTTTATGATATTCTAATTTAGGAATTTATATAAAGTTAATTTTTTTAGTTAAAAACCATATTGTAATAAGAGTTTAAAATATGCACGCTGTAAAATTATATTCTGTGATGTTTGATTTAGTTTTAAGAGAATTTATGAAACTAGGCAGCGAACCAAGCAGGCGAAGAAGTAATATATTATTATGTAGAAATCAGGTTCTGGATATTGCACATAGGATTAACAATGTTACCTGTATATATGTTACAATTTACTAACGTTCTTGATATTGTATTAACATTGTTAATACTAAATGGGTGGTGGCATTGACATGGCAATATCCGTGGGCGCAGGTATCCTGGTAGGACATAATTTCTTTACTCCTGTAAAGTATTTAAAAAGTGATTTCATGATCCAAATGATCCCAGAAATCTAAACTACCCGAACTCCTACTTAAATATTTTGTATGAAATGTAAAAAAAGCTTATCAAATATTTGCGAATGTTCCTAAACTCCTAATAAATTGGCACATTGTTTTTGTGCATGTTCGAAATTTATCTTTAATCTACTGTCTCATATTTAATGTGTCGTTTATCATCACCGGTACCAGGACACGTCGTCAGATCCAACGGCGGTTCCAGTGGGGGGTCATGGGGTCATGACCCCCCCTGAGCTGGTTCCAGGACTTAGGTGGACCACTAATTGAACATAATGATTTTATTTATATATTTTGTCACTATACAGATTTTATGTAACTACATACCTTCAATATTTAATTAATTTAATATAATATAATAACTTTGTATAATGGCAAGCGTTTGCGGACGAGCGCATCGAAAATTTGACTATGTGACCCCCTCCTGGCGCCAAAGCTGAATCCGCCCTTGTCAGACCAGTGTTCTTCTCACAAATCACTGAATAAGATAATAAGAAAGAGGTTTACCAAAACTACGGTCATTGCACTGAATTTTATTGCGTAATGCTACCGTTAATTCGTCTGTAACATGCAACGCATTGTATGACTTTACAATACTTAGATCATGGCTGCAATCACGTAGTTTACAGACTAGACAGATGCTATGTGAATTGTTGATATTGAGATAGACGGTTACACGTGACTTCCGAAACTAAACCTATCTATATCTTTTCTATTATCTCTTATAGTATTTTTATAGTTATGATTAGAACTAATTTTGCGGCTTGATTTTGCATTTTTTACTTAAGATTTGGGGCTCATTGTTATTTTGTTAACAATATTTTTACTTCTGGTTCCTAAAAATTGTATATCTTTTAAATAGCTTAATTTAAAATAAATTTAAATGACCGCATTAAATATATTTTTAAACCAACTTTAAGAAACGGAGAAGGAACTTTTTTCTAGGCGAACCGATTTTTATGATTCTGTTTTATGATTTGTTTGAAAGTTGGTGTTTCTCATTTGGTCCCATATAATTTTTCTGAACGATAGTTTTTGGGTTATCTTTAATGACGCATATTAAATTGAATTCAACTACATTCATGATATTCTTGGTGTATACTATCGGTTTTCTTTTATGTTAAAAATTTGTACCCATATTAAAGTTTTCAATAGATACTAAAGAAACAGAAAAATTGAAAAACAGAAAGGAAATTATTGGTCCGTAACTATGCATGAAACATGTTCACTGTGGAAGCTATTTATTCCAGTTTCAGTTTCGGGAATGGTTTCTTGTGTTCATACCTTGAATAATCTATAATCTAAAATATGAAAATGCTCGTGATGTGTCCCCCGTCGGACGAATTCCTTTTGTTTGTTTTAAGTTTATTTTATGCAAAAGTTTAGGTCTTTTATTTATCAATTGAGGCACTACGAAGTCCGCCGGGTCAGCTAGTTTATAATATAATTTAGGTTTTAATGTTAAATCACTGGCAACTATTCAGTCTTGCTGCATCATGCATCCTTGCGACGCAATGGAGCGATTCCGTCCATTAGCCGTCAGTTTGAGTAACATAGCATTTGTAAATCCAGTTCACGTTAATGACAGCTAAGACATTATGACGTTTTGGAAGCAGTAGAATTTACAGGCTATTATTGCATTCGATTTCGATCGTTTTAAAGGTGTTTTGATGTATCATTCGATCTTGTCTGGAGATCAAGCTCCACGATTCCCTTCACGAGGCCAAGGATCGCGATAGGTGGAGAATAACTGTACAAGAGAGATTGATGCAGCGGGAGAGTCACGACTCTCAGTAATGAGGAGGACAATGCAAGAGGAGGAGAAATGTATGATATGACTTTTCATCTTCTTACATTTTTTAATTGGATTACGTTGGTAAAATTAAAAGCAATGTCACTGGATGACCATTTTGTTGTAAAACTAAATTTGATAGTAGATCATAGAGATTTTATTTTTGGGTAGGCGATTTAAGAAAAGAAAAAATAAAGAAATTTATTCATTTCCGTCGGCAAAGAAGCTACAATGCAAGTCGTC